TTGAGTGGTTGTCGAGTGGGGGAGGGGTGAGTGTTTGTGTGGGTTTATTTGAGGGGGGGTGGGGGTAATTTGTGTATGGATGTTTGGGGGAGGGGTAGCATCATCAACAAAAGCCGCAGCAGTAACAACAACAACAACAAAAACAACAACAACAACAAAAACAGTAACAACAGCAGCAACAGCAATAACAACAACAACATCAAAAACAACAACAACAACGACAATAACAACAACATCAATAAATCAGCTGAGAAGCAAAATTTACAGATTGAATACGTCTTTCCAGAAACCCCAGGCCAGCCCACCACTGCAATGTTCTCCCTTTTTAAAAATCCCAAAACAAAACAAAGACAACACAAATTACATTTTAGAAATTCATTCTTTTATCATACATTAAGGAGAAACGAACCTGTAACCTACGTCTGGTCAGCTTTGCAGACAACAACGCTACTTTAAGTAAGAAATCACAATCTCATTAATTTTCATCGGAGGATTAAACCCATACATGTCACACCAATGAGTGTTCCCTCTACAGAAAGAAACAACTTTTAGTGACATAAGGTGGTGCAATACAAGAGACGACAAGACCGTAGCGACAAAGAGTTATACTTTTCGACAGTGGAACTATAAATCAGATCTCAAAACTGTCCCAAGATAGTGTGAAATACTCTTTTAACACATCTTACTCAAATTTTAAAACTTTCAGATGGTTACTTGCTTGTGTGAAACAATGTGATTATCACAAATAAATCAAATTTCAAAACTTTCACAAGATTTACCTGTTTGAGTGAAACAATCTTGTTATCACAAATGAATACACCTGTCGTTCCTTCACAACCGAACAGTCCTCACCAGTGTAGTAAAATAATCTATTCTTCGTGCCCACAGAAGAGGACAGTGATATTTCTATTATTTAACACGCGCAGAAAAAAACGTCCAGAGCCCCGATAAGGCAGAGCCGCAGACAGTGAATGTAGCCTAATTTATTATCATGCAGTGCCCTGGCGTTATTTATTGTTATAGGCTACTTGTCGTTGTTGTTGCTTTAGTTCAGCCATCATCGTCACCTGATGAACAAATCTAGATCTACCCCCGCCTCATGTGACAAGCACACTCTTGAACAACTAAGACGATCGTTATTTGTAATTATTGTGAGTATTGTTTGAAAAACGTCCCACTTTATCAACTGGTTTAGTAGTGCCCTAATATCAGCTCTCGGAGACTGAGAGGGGCGAAGGAGTGCGCTGCGCTAGACACTGGACAGATCTACGGGTTCATTCCATAGAATTAGAAAAAAGACAGATACTGAAAGTAGAACGCTCGCTTGGTCTTTGGGCTTATGCCGTAGAATAAGAAAACAAATACGGGCCTTTACAGCAAGTGGAACTCGCTGTTGCATCGACATAAAATCTATCAGATTATAGCTGCTAGTAATACAGTAGTTATACCATTTAAAGAAGAAGGACCTCCGACCTAGCGTCCATCTCTGACGGTCAAACCAAAGTGGGCGAGGAGATATCTTGAAAACACTTCAAACAATCCACCAAACAACTCAAACTCAAGAAAACCCCACAGAGAATTCGAATCGGGACTACCCACTTTGTTGACTTGCACACTAGCTCGATGTTTCAGCTTATCGTTGGGTATCATATTACCATTAGAATGTGGACTGACTTGAACACCGTGTAGCCTACAGAGTTTTGCAGTTATTGGGTTGTGTACATGGCATTCTGTTAAGTAGTTCAAAACACACACTGTTTGTGGCGAAGAGCTTGCCAACCTGGGCGCTATTGCCCACTAGTGGGCCTTTAAAAAAATTAAATTTGGTGGGCAGTGAGGAAAGCCGGGTAGCGATAGGTGGGAGGACATATCAATAGCGAACGATTTCACCTCTATTGTTGATCAAACAATTGGCTGGCTATATGTACGGTACGGGGAACAGTCTGTACTAGTATTATAGTATAACAATATGTGGCATGTTGAACAATATGTACAAGTGTACGTTGCACGTTGAATATTCTGTACTAGTACATGCAATATGTGTGGCACGTTGAACATTCTGTACTAGTACATACAATATGTGTGGCACGTTGAACAATCTGTACTAGTACATGCGGCACTTTGAACATACTTGTAGTATACCAGTGATGTATAGGCTATGCGACACTTTGAACAATCTCTATTAGTGAAGTACTATTACTATTAGTAATATTATACACTTGCAGATTTGCAGGGAATGTGCCCACCTTACC